TGCATTCAGAGCATCGAAACTCCCCTTCGGATCAAACGATCACGAATTGATCAAGGTCCTTCAGAACAAGCAGGTCTTGACTGCCTCCAACTCCTGGAACTATCTCCAATGGAACTCCAAGGAGAAGACCTTGAAGCCAGCAGCCAGAGATCCACTCCCGTCCGAGGAAGCCGCAGCATTGATTCAGAAGATCCATACTCTGGCGGCTCAAGCGGACCTCATTCACCGGTTCATAGCTTTGAAACCAATGCCACAGGATTCCACGGTGACGGACTCAGTGGTGGTGCCTTGGAGACTGGACATCTCACTGAGAGGCCAAGCAGCACAAGATCTCTATACAGCCCTTCAACAGCTGACAGGCAGCGGGCTTACGCAGCTGATCTTCGTTCGAATCCGACCATCGACCTTGCAAAGGTCACCATTGGCTCAGACCGTTGCAGCTCGCTTGATGAAATGAGAAAAACCATTTTGGCACTCTCCTTGGGGAATGGGTCCAACCTCTGCTATATGAATGCAGCTCTGTTGGCAGAACTATGGGCATGCTGCATGACTGACACCTTTGTTTGGCACGCAGTTGGAGAATGGAAAGAACCTTTGCTTCGATTGCTTTCATGCAGCAACCAGCATCAGATCCTGACTGACCACGGCTGTTTGGGCCAACTTTTACATTCATGGTTCACAAACCATGAACCGGGGACACAGCAAGACTCGGCTGAGTTTGTTGGCTGGCTTCGACATGCCATGCACGGGGATGTACATGGTGGTCAATCCACCTCTAAATGAGAGGCACGGCTAGAAGCGGCCACTGAGGATTCAGGCCAATTGTACGCTCCGATCCTCCTTCAGCAGACAAAAGAGGGAGTGTGCACGATCCAGGACCTGATCAATCTTTGGCATGACCAAGCACCTTTTCACTGTGGTTTTACGACAGACACAACCACCGTATGCCTTCAAGTGAATAGGTACCCTGCCATGGATGTTCGATCCCCACAACCCATTCGCTGGAACCGCATTCCTGTACACTTGCCTTGTTTCGTCAATGCACACAGCTGGACAGTCCACTGGAAACATTTTGAGATAGTTTCCGTTGTGGTTCACCGAGGCGCAGAACCTCACACCGGCCACTACCAGGCCTGTCTTCGCACCGGAGGCTGTCGCTTCCTGACTGAGGACTGGAGTCGAGCAATGCCATGTGCTCACACGACAGACCTTGAGCATGATTTGTATGTTCTTTGGCTCGTCGACAGCACACACCTCACTGAAGCATGGAGCTCACTCCTCGCATGCAATCCTTTCGTGCCTTTTTCGAGCAGCCATGACCACTGACGCCTGATGCCGCCCGGGGCAATAGATGCGCTAGACGCAACCGATCTACGGATTGAAGCCCAACACGGGCAGAGCTCTCTCTGCCGGAAGTGAATAAAATAATATTTAATTTTAATTTATCTATATTATAGATATATAATATGATTAGGATGATAAACTATAATATAAATAAAAATCATTTAGGATTATGATATTTTATTGAATTTGTAGAGATAATAAATCGTTATTTTTTTTGATATTAGTTATTTATAATTAGGATTTTAAATTATATATTTATTTTTGATTGGATTTAATATAAAATAGAAATTTAAATAGATAAAATTTGATTGTAGAAGATTATTGATATTTTAGGCTTTTGGCCAATAATTTGATAATTGGAGGTTGATATTATAATTTTAGGATTTAATATTGCTATAGATTATGGTTTGTTTAGCAAAAATTGCCTATAAAAGAATATAGAAATATTTATATTATTTTAATTATATTCTTAATATTACTTTAGAGATATGTTGTTTTTAATTATTATATAATTATGAAATTTTCAGGAAATAATTATTCAAACTATAATTTATGCATATAATAAATATTGAAATTAAGGAAATAACTAATTTAATATCCATACAAATTTTTCCAGAAATCTAATATAAGGAATAAATATATATAAAATATTACGATTTTATAGAACGATTTTCAAGAAATAATATTCATGAAAAGAATTTTCTTTTTTAATATCGAATTATTGCCATCATTCAATGCAAATTCATCATGAATATTTCTTTTAAATAATCCATATTTTTTACAATTAAATATATATATCTATATAAATGAATGGTGAAATTAATTAATTATTGAAAGATATTCCAAAATAATTAAATGATAAAAATTAAATAGATTTCATTAATATATTTATATATATAATGAAAATGCCAAAGAATTTTATATATAATAAATTTTCTACAAATATTACAATTTATTTCTATTGAATATATATATTATAATAGTAAAAATATGATAGATATATTATTTATTCAAATATATATTAATTTTATATATTTGTTTAGAGATTTTATTTGATTAATAATTATATATTCTCCAAAATAGATTATATATCCATATATTTCCAAAGAATATAAAAAGACAAATCTTCATTCCCACATAAAAATTCTAATATATTAATATCTATTAATAATTAAATATATATATATGAAATCATCATTAAATATGATATCATTTTTCCAAGGATTTATTAATATATATAAATATATAATTGATTTATTAATATCATATCCATATCATCTATAATCCAAAACGAATATATTCTCGATCCAAGAATATAAACGTCGGAATTTAATCATCCGGATTTGCAAAAAATCACCTGGCTACATATATATATATAATTCATAAAAAAATCCGTATTATATTAATTTGCATAAATTATATCTTGAATATTAAATATATATATTGATAGCAAATAAAATAAGCAAATCAAATATATATGTTATCTTATTTCCGAGAATATATAATTATTGAAATTTAATCCCCCTCCAAAATTGGTCTTTTGCTTCTTCAGACATGTGAGCCATCGTGTTCACGTCGCCCATTTCCTGGCCATCGGCGTGCCACAGCTCCTGGCGCAAAACCATTATGTCCAGCATTCAGCGTTTATTTGAAATGTTGCTTGGCCCGACCTCATTCATAGAATCGACGAATGAACAATCTATGATCCTGCAAACGCGCTTCGAATCAGCCCTTTGCACCTGCAGGGTCTTGAACCTTCCTCCGATTGGCATCGGACGCCACAGAGCGAAGAGGTCTAATCCATATTATCTTTTATTTAATTTATATATCATATAAATAATATAATTGTATTCATAATTGTGTTTTATGATTTTGTATTCTCCGAAAAAAATATCTATATATATTAAATATAAATGAAATTCTTCATTCCTATAAAATGCATCTATAAATAAAAATATACTCCCGAGCAAGCCGACAGCAGAAGTTTCCTATAAGAAAAAATTGACCTATAGGAGTGTTCCGGTTCTTTCTACCATGTGTGTCCCTTGTGTCCCTCAGTCAAACGCATGAGTGATGAGGGAAGCATAGCTCTAGTTCTAGCTCCATTAAAGTCAATTGGAACTAGACGTTAATTATGATGTGATAGCTTGTCTAGACACGAAGCAAATTAGCTTAAATTTGTCAACCTCTCAAAATACGTGTTTTGAGGTCTCCAGAAAGTAATCGAAATGACCACTTTTGAGTAAGCAAAGTAGAAAAAATTTGTCAACCTCTCAAGAGAGCCGGGTGGTCGGGAGACATGATTCAGCTGCAGGGGCGCCAGACCAGTCGCGAGAGATGACTCAGCCGCGAGAGATGACTCAGCCACGTGCTAAAGTTGCACTACCAAGTCCCCAATTCTCAGCTTCCAACTCCACAGATTGCTCCGCGTACTAAAGTTGTACTAAAAAATTGCCAATTCTCATCTTGCAGCTCCCTAGATATTGCGCTTATTAAAGTCGTGTATTACAAAGTGACCAATTCTCATCTTCCAATTCCCTAGATATTCCGCGCACTAAAGTTGCACTACAAAATCGCCAATTCTCAGCTTCCAGCTCCACAGATTGCTCCGCGTACTAAAGTTGTACTACAAAGTCGGCAGATCTCATCTTCCAGCTCCCCAGATATTCCGCGTGCTAAAGTTGTAATACAAAGTCGCCAATTCTCATCTTCCAGCTCCCCCAGATACTCCGCGCGCTAAAGTTGTACTACAAAGTCGCTAGTTCTCAGTTTGCAACTCCACAGATTGCTCCGCGTGCCAAAGTTGTACTAGAAAGTCGCCAATTCTCATCTTCCAGCTCCCCAGATACTCCGCGTACTACAGTTGTATTACAAAGTCGCCAGCTTTCAACTTTCAATTCCGCAGATGCTGTGCCTGCCACGAAATCTGCACATGGAGAATCACAAAGTGCTGTGCCTACCAGGAAATCGGCACCTCGAGGTTCACAAAGTGTTGTGCCTGCCACGAAATCTGCACATGGAGGTTCACAAAGCGCTGTGCCCACCACGAAATCTGCAGATGGAGGTTTACAAAGTGCTGTGTCTGCCACGAAATCTGCATATGGAGGTTCCCAAATTGATGTATCTGCCACGAAATCTGCACTTGGAGGTTCACAAAGTATTGCGCCTGCCACGAAATCTGCACCTCGAAGTTCACAAAGTGCTGCGCCTACCACGAAATCTGCAAATTGAAGTTCACAAAGTGCTGCGCCTGCCACGAAATCTGCAACACCTGACAAACGCCGCGAACACCTGAAACCACCGTGCCACTGCGGAACCGATCATGATCCGACCATGGCGCGAGACCGTCCGGCAACCGTCATGTGCAATACATAAATTCCTCTAAATATCATGTGAAAAAAAATATTTTTTTACAAATAGCTAGCAAGCGATCACCGACGCCGTCCTTCCTGAGGCTCCGCGCGGATACAATAATTTCCTACTAATGGACCTACAACGGCCCGAGAGCCTACCCTGGCAATGGCAACACTGAAGATTGGGGTACTCACCATGCATGGTGTGGGTATAGTGGACTTTACGCAACAAAGGGTGTCCACACCCTTGATTTTCAGCCTCTGCACCTGTACAAAGCAGGGCCCTAAGAATTTCCAAATCCGTTAACAACCGATGCGTTTTAAGACAGTAGGGCACTTGGTGCAACGTAAGCCTTTCTCAAAAGGAACCCAATTGTGGCCCCCAAAGCGCTTGACAAGAGCTTGGGTAAAGAATTCCTTTTTGGTACATTTCCACGTGGAAACCTTTGGGGCAGTGGATTCAGCAGTGAACCAATACCTAATCCGTGGCAACATCCAAGCTGTCAGCCTGGTGACTCGACCAAGAACCCAGCCAGTAGCTTTGGCATAGGGCGCCACAGATTGAGCGGTGATTGTAGCGAACTCATCCGCAAATTTATTAGTGTGCCAAGACCAAGCTTCATCCCCTTTAGAAAGATGCTTAGCAAGCGTAAGGTGAGATCTAACCTTGGTGAGAAGTACTCTCTTGCTCAAGTGGGCAGCAACACCTGCCCTTAAGTCACCATGCGGATTGCTGATTTTGTGGGGTTTGCGCTTTAACTTAAGATACACATTGATCACGAAAGCAGCATCGACAACAACCAACGCTTCAAAGGTATCTGGCAAGAAACGAAGCAACTCCAGAAAAGCGCGAAGCTCAGCGCGAGCAACTGTGTTGAGGTTTCCATCATCACAAATGCGCCCAGTGATACTACCAATAAGGACAAATTCATCATCAACACATGAAACAGCAACAACCGACCACGCACACTTTCTGAGCCTGGGGTCTTTGGTAAAAGGGCCACCGCTGCCATCAGTGGCAAAGAAAGTTTCTTGCCCCTCAAAAGCAGCAGGGTCAAGAAAGTATCCGGCACGAACAACTTCTTCAGAAGTGATTGGCTCAGCAGTGGTCCAAGCACGGGGCACCAACCCCCTTAACCAAAAGTGCTGGCTCTCAGGGCGACAGCACAATCTAATCCAGGCCTCCGCAACAGGGCCACAATGTTCAATGCAAGCAGCGCACTCATAGAGCATGTGGTGTAAGGTTTGTTCAACACTGCAATGCGAACAAACCCTTTTCTGAAAGTTTAAGCTACGTTGCAATGCACCCTGCCACCATATCTGCAACATAGCAGCATCTTTCACAGGAGAATCAGTAAACAACTTTTTATGAAGAAAAAACATCAAGACCAGATTGAAAACCTTCGCCAAAGAACTGATGTGACACAATCTGATTTTGGCCGCGCCGCATGGATGCCAACAACCCAACTTCAAGACAAGTGAATTCCCTGCCAAAATCTATTTGCCATGGAGTACCAAGATCATCAAGCGAACAATCAAGCTTGGAAGCGTCCCAGCCAAGGTCCATGAGCACAGCCTGCGTGGCCGCTAAGGGCTTTTGACAATTTGCCAGCGATACTTGACTTCAAGGAGCTCAGACCAACTCTGTTCCCAGGCACATGAAAGGGCTGAACAAGCCACAGTGCCACAACGCCTCACCAACTGGAACCACAATCGCAACTGCTCCACACGCAAGCGATAATAGGGGTCATCGGTTATTTCAGCATGGATTTGCATGGCAACTTCGAGGGAACCCCGGCCTTGAACCCACTTGTTTGTTCGGACCACATTTAAGCGCCGCGCACGGAGCTTGTTGGGGGGCACTCCAAGCGCCATGTGGCCCCACATGGCAACAGAGTTGGCAGACATGTTGACAAATTTCTTCCTACTTTTGACAGGCAGGTGTTTCACCTTGGCAAGCCTAGCTCGACCTCTTTTAAGCCGACTGTGATGTACCCCAAGCCTACGCTTGCGAGCCAAGGAATTGTCAATCCCTAGATCTTTAATAGTATCCTTCAATTGGGGGCAATCCTGATACTGATCAAGCAGGCATTTCAACGCCTTCTTAATCGCCACATCGCCGACTAAAAAGCCAGATTTAGTGACATTGACTTCCAGCCCTCGCGCCACAAGACCTTCACGCAATTCAAGAAAAGCGTTCACAGCTTGTTGAGCAACTTGCCCAGACGAGAATCCCCTCACACCAATACCGATGTCATCAACCCAAGTGGTGAGTCCCTGAGGCTTACAAACTCGGTTCACATGAAACATGAGAGTCCACAGCACAATCTTGGCAAGAACAACACCAAAAGGGCAATCGGCCAAAATACCGTTCATAGGATTTACGGGGTCATTGGGCAAATCCTCAGCAATCAGGATCCGAGGCCCTTTATGCACTTGTAAACACATGAACAAGATCAAAGGGGGGAAACCAAGCGCCAAGGCGTCAGCCGCCAACAAGTCATGATCAACAAGGTCATAAAAATTGGTTAAGTCGACCAGCAAGCTTATTTGCTTCAGAGCAAGTTTCTTGCAAACTTCAGCTTTGCAAAGCCGAAGTAAGGCAACCTGCAAGCAGGTAGAGCCTTTAACAGCTTGGTCCCAGAAGGCCAACTCCCGATCGTTCAAAAGCCAATGGTCCACCAACGGTTTACGCAATTTGCACCACAACCTATACAACACGTGAGTCAAGCATATAGGCCGTTCGCAGACAACATCTTTGGGCAAACAAGCAACATGCACAAGTAAAAATTGCTCAATGTTATGAAACAAACCGACGTTCAATGTCATGAAAAATGAATACCAAGGCACTAAGCGAGGTAACATCGTCAACAAGCGGAAAGTGCAACCGTCCGGCCCTCCTTTTTTGTTGGGCATACCCTTCAGGGTTTCAACAATTTGCACAGAGGAAATCAGGTTGAGACTTTCAACCTGCTTAGCAGCAAGCGTCTCCAAAAGCTTGAAGCTGGGCCACGGCTGCTCAGAGGTTGCCTCACCCCCACGCGCTTTCCAAAAAGAGCGACGGGCCTCAGCACGTTGGCTCACTAACAAGTCACGAAAAGGGCGGATCGCAACCGCCTCATCAGATTTAAAATACGCAAACGCTACTTGACCACTGCCTTTGACCATATCTTGCACAATAGCAGTCCACTGCTCAGCCCTCTCCTTCAGCAAGGCTTTCAAAAACCAATGCTTCTGCAAGCCAATGTCATGAATAACCTTCACAAGGGCATCAAGGTTCAAAGGACCAATTTTGTACAACAAAGATTTGAACTTACAAGCCATGTCAAAATGAAGCTCTGCAAAAGCAACCCGCCAGGTTTCAACCTTAGTGGCAGCCCGAATAATCAAGTGAAACATATTGCCCCGCAACCGAGAATTTCCCGACGCAGAGAACCCCGAGTGCCTTTGGAAAGTTTCAATCCAATAACCCAACATTTGCCCGTACTCCAAGTGAGGATGCTTCCACAACCGACTTTCTTGGATTTCGGTCATTGACAGCGGTTGCCTTGTAAAGGCCACGTGCACGCCCCTGCCAACATCATTGATATCAATATCAGTTTCAACTGATTGTAACCATCCTTCAGCTTGGGCCATGCAGGTTCCAAACAGAAGAGACAAATCGCCATCCAAGAGTTGGTGCCTTGGACATGCAACCCTAAGGTTTAACTGTACATTCTCCCGCTCAAAAGTGCTCCACGGAAGGCGGGGCCCTGGAAGCAAAGGTACATCCCTGTAAAGCCGAAGTTTGGGCACCCCGAGTTGCATACAAAACCAAGCCAAGCGGACAAACACGGCAGCAAGGGGCCTCCATGGGATTTGCCAAGATATATGGACAGAACAAAGTTGGGCCAAGGATCTGCATACCACCGCAAAATCAAGGTTGCTGCCAGAGGTGGCATAAGTGGCCTCCCCGGCATCAATCACGATGCCTGCAACTGCACGCGCAAAGGAAGACTCGCCCACACTCGCAGATTCAGAGTTCTAGTCCCCAATGACCAGCCACGGCAAGCCGCTAGCCAGGGTTTTGATGCAACCATGCAAGGCTTCCAAGATTTGGCTATTGGCAGGGCTGTCCAAAGCGTCGCCGGTCTTCAAATAAATAGAAAACAAGGCCAACCTATTGCCAGCAAATTCCAATAATACACCGGACCAACCATTTCCGTGGAGGCTGAAGTCGGCAAGGGTGGTCACACCCCAAGTGCGGCTTGCCACCCCAAAATTGCCCGCCAGTAGTGCCTCCTCGTCCAATTGCCTCAGCAGCCTAGAATTGCCCTTCCAACCCCAAGAGCGAAGCTTTCTTTCAAGTTTCCTGGTTTCACAGGTCGACTGGTGAGTTTCTTGGATAGCAAACACTTGTGTGCTGGTCTGAAGTTGCTGTGCCAGCCAACTGCTCACAGCAGTATTACAGCTGGTGACATTGGCACTACAAATGGTGATGCTACCCTGAGAGCTGGTCAACCTCTGTCTTGGCCTGAGAGGGTTCCACCAGCATTGCATCATCCATCTTCCGGTGATTTTGTTCGCGTAGCTGATCGGCCATGGCCATGTCCTTGAGCTGCTGCTGCTGCTGCTCCGGCCGCAATTTGCTTCCCATGTCAGCCAAGATGGTCTGAACCAGGAGCGCATCACCACCATTGGCCTGGCCTTCAGCCGCCTCTTCCCCATCTTTGGGGATGCCCAAGGCATACTTCCAATAATCCTTGGAGCTTTCTTCAACTTCCAGTTCTGCAGCCTGTAGCCCTTCACTAGCTGTTTGCAATTTGGCTTCCAATTGGGCCACCTGCTCCCGTGCGCGAGCCAAGCGTTGTTCGACTTGAGCCAGTGGCCTTCTAAAAGCGTTCAGTGGCTTCAGCCTTTGTGGGAGAACGGTCCGGATGTTTTGCCTCCTGGTCTGCCTGCAATATCTTTTCAAGGGATTACCATACCTTTGCCGGTAAGATCGGGTCGGGTCATCCGATCCCAAGAGTTGTCTTGCGCTTTCCTGCCAGGTAAGGGTTAGGGCATCCATAGAATCATCCTCCGAATCTCCTTGGGTATCTTTCCATTGGCCCTTGCCAGGAGGCCTATTCCATGGTGCCTCAACCGATTTTCGAGAACCACCGCCTACACCTTTGGGGTTAAAGGACAATTGGGAAATATATTCATACCTATCCCATTGCGATGCGCATACCTTATTTATTCCATCTTATGGCCCAAATCCAAGAATCACAACCACCAATAGCACAACGAATAAAGGTCCCCTAAAGACCATATAATATAACAATGCGTAAAACCAACTAAAAAATTCTTCCCCTCCCAAGATAATTCAAACAAGCTCGGACCTAAACGCTTCATATAATATATTTAAAATTTATGTTAATTAAACATAATTTATCAAAAATATTATATCCATATTTCCTATAATTTACAAATAGTTAATAAATCCAATAATATTTAATAAATATAAAAATAATTATATATAATTTTATATATTAATTATATTATTATATAAAATAATATTTAAAATATAAATATAAAAATAAATAAATATATTTTTTAAAATAAATATCTATATAATTCCAATAATATAAATTCAATAATATATTTCCCATATAAATATAATTCCAATTATATCTATTTAAAAAAAAAATATATATATATATATTTAAAAAAATATTAGTTGAAAAATAGGGAATTTAATAATTAATAATATAATCTAAATATATATTTATGTATATATGATATTATCGATTTATATATATTGTTTTTCATCGAAATATTCAAAGGGCGATTGTTTGTATTAGCCGAAACGTAGATATTCTACGAAGGATTATTTTCTGCCAGCGGATCGTCCTGCGGAAGTAAGCAAAAGGTGGAGGAGTTCATTCTCCAAATATTGGTGTATGCATTGTAGATCGATAATCCATACCGCATCATACCGCACATCCAGCCTGAAACTGCAAGCACGTACGGCTCGCTGACATTGATGGATGGGACAGTTCACAACGTTAACCACTTTCTCGACCTGAGGCATGCTTGGCATTCACATCTATTCACCACATTGGGGTCATATCAAAGTGGCAGGTTCTGCACAAAGCGTCGGCTTTGCTCAATGACTCAAGTTGGCCAAAGACATGTGCCCAGCCTTTTTTGGGAGCAGGCATCCGGACCCACGCCTGGCATCGCTTCTCTTTGCAAGTCAGTTAGACAGATAAGGAGAGATTGAGATGAAGCGGTCTGAGATTGAGGCAAGTGCAATAAGGTTACAAAGGTGAGGAGAATCTATGATCAATCTATGGATGGATGGATAGATAGATAGATAAGTTGGATGAGAAAGGTGGGATGAGAGAATAAGAGGTTCCCGCAGTACGAACACATTAAAAATAATGTCTCTGATCTACATGCACTGGTTGACGGAGGTGTTGAACAACTGGTTGGTTCTTCCTTTGGTTTGGGATTTCCCCCCAGCCAATCCACCGAAAGCACAAAGCAGTCAGCTGCGGGTGCCAAGCAATAGTTCTATGGTTATATATATATAACATTCTTTCATCACAATTGCCGTTTGATATAAAGTTCCTTACACACCCCTCTAGATCAGCTCCATATTTCTTCTTTATCGTCCATGAAAGGATTCCAATTGACTGTCGTGCGTTGCCATCAAACTCCATGAGAACAGCCTCTGCAGAGCCATCATCATTCTCAAATGACTCAACTCTCCTGAGGACCACAGAACGGCAACTGGCATTTTTCAAGCAAATTGGCACGCAGTAGTCAAATGCGAAACTGCTGCTACCAGTACGACAATGAACGCGATATTGGCGGTGATTTCATGCATTACAGTAATTAGATTGCAGTGGATCAGGGGTACAAACACATAAAGCACATTTGGGGCAACGTGCATAGGCAAGGGTGCAAAGAGCACACTGCGAGTTACCACGCCAAGCATCTTCCGCCATGGCCCGCAATCGCACCACTGCCCTCGAAGCAGTCAGTATCAGAACTAGAACTTGGTGCATGTTGGCTGCATGCCAGGCTAACCCCGCTGACAAAACTTGTGCTTGCATGGTCAACCAAGCCATAGAAAGCAACTTCATGGTTCAGCTTGTGAACCCATCTTTGACAACACAAGGACACGGCAAGATCCCCAGAAGGGCTGCTCACCATTCAAAAAGGAAACCACAACTGTAAGTGCCTTCTGGGGAACGGATAAGACAATTTCCCATGGCGTACCGTGCTGCACGGAACTTTGATCAGCTTCAAACAGCTGCAAGGTGTGCCTTTTACATGTCGAGGCTACCTCAAGTGACAATGAGATCTTGCGCATGTCATCAAATTCTTACATGTTGGCAATGTTGGCCCACATTGCATTCCGCACACAAACAGCTTGATGTCTATAGGTCCTGCTTGCTCACGAAGATCTAAAGCACCAACCAATCAAAAACACATCTTTTCTGCGAAAAAAGCTAAGCGATTTCCACAGCTCACCATTGAGACCTAAGCAACTCCAAGGCCTTCGAAATCTCAACTGCGCCCACGGGCACTGTTTCCCATGCCGTTAGACCGGAATCGCACTGAGACTTGCGCACTCCCTGCTGTGTTCACCTAAGGCTTGCACTTGCTTTTCCCTTTGCTCTTTCCTCCTCCCCCTCCTGTCTTGCCTTTGCTCTTGCCTGCGGTGCAACGCGGCGCACACCGGATCTCGTCTTTGGCAGGAGCGCATGCCGCCGCTCCAACCTGCCTCCGCCTCCGCCTTTGCCTTTGCTACCCTTTGACCTGAGCCCAATGGAGAATCAACTGGGAGCTTTCTTGAAATTGTAGTGTCATGTAGTGTCTGTACGTATAAAATCTAATCCTTCACCCATCAAGCTTGTTTGCTTGTTCACTTGTTATATAATATTAGATCTATTTATATATATATATAAGTATAAGTGTTATATATATATAGTCTGTCTCCAAACACTCTGAGAGCTCTACCAAGCAGCTTGTGACCGGATGTTATTTCCACCTGCGAAGCATCTGTGGTTTGTTGCAACAGTCATTAGCAATGCGGTTTGCAGTGGCCAAAAATGGAAAATCAAAATGCGCACCTCCTGCGAGCTCAATGGCAACCACATTAAGTAGCTCAGCCAAATTGCCAAATCATGTTTGAGATTGGGAACTATGAGAAGAATTCTGAAAACTTCAGAAAACCCATCTGCCCAGTATTGCGCTGCTATATGGACTGACCACCTTGTTTCCTGCCTCGGCTTCAACCACAAAAGCGACATGTCACTCTCAATCTAACTGAATGGAATCAAGCAGTTCTCCAAATTCACCTGCTTTTCCACGACGCGAACTCTGGCCTCGAGAATCTCGGCCACCCCAACCTGGCAAGCTGCGGGTGCCAATGCTGCATCAAATTACACTTTAGATCATTCGTGTGTGTTTTTCGTTTTCATGCAAGGTCAAACTTATTAAACTTCAAAGACTTGGATGCTTTGGCACAAGTGTTCCGCGTCAGCTGCACATATTTTGTAACCGTGAGTCAAGAGCATCTGATCATTCCGCCATGGTGGCTAATTATCTCCATCGGCGGACTTGGTGATGTCCGTGGTGACCAGTGTCCACGTTCAGCATTGTCACTTCGACGCTTCGGGATCAGTCGTCGAGTGTGTTTGGACATGAGTTTGTCCAACTCTTGTCTTCTCGAGGCCATATGGTCCATCATCATAGAGGTGGAGGCAGCATTAAATCTCCAGCCCAGAACAGATTCTCACTGGCTCTGCTTTGCCTCCTACACTTTGGCTTTGGCAGGCATCATCGTCAAGAAAGCTCTCTTCGGAGAAAGGTGATGTTCAGCAGCATCGCAGACTTGCATGCCGAAACCATCCCAGTGTCCAGTGTTGCACCGTTCACATCAACGATCACGTCATTCACCTGTTTTGGGCCACGAAATGGACGCGCTCCTTTTGCGCTGCGAGGACTCCTGGTTTTCCACACCCCTGCGTCTTGCTTGCACAACAGCTAGGTCCGCCGGGGGTTCGGATCGTGACCGTTGGATTTCGGAGACGTTGTCAGTTGTAGCCCATTAAGCCTGACTGAGTTTCTGATGATTGGTGGACGTTGTGTCAGTCAGGCCTCAACCTGACTGGGGAGTCAAAAACAAGAGCTTTGCAAGAATGAGAAGTACTCTTTGCTAATTCTTAGCAACTCCCCTAACTACTTTGCTTTTGAAGAATTAGAAGGATATAGACCAAAAAAAGGGATAAGCAAGTTAAGCAAGTGAACAAAAACGGAACAAAAAAACCCAACAAAAGATCTGCGAGCCATAACACTGGTGGAAGCATTGGTGTGATCAGTATCAAGTCTGCACGAACTATCGTTTTATCCGCACGACATTGTCGTGGTCATCTTTCTGGAATCGAGTTTTCACGATGCGTCATTTCACCCAGAAGCCTATAATGAGTGCACAAGTATACAAGAACAGCCGTGACATCTTCGTGGTCGTGACATAATGCAAATTGCCTTCCCCACCCTGCCCCCCACGCCCCCGAGAAAGTATGTAGCCATTCATGAGTGTGATACCTGCATCGAACATGCATAAAGACCAATTCAAAACCTATTGTATTGGACATTTGACATGCTTCAAAAAGCGTTTAGAGCGCACTCGCAGTCTCCTCAGTGGCCCTGAAGGAAACTGCAAAACTACTGTATACAAATAGCACGTGAAATCTCTAAAAAAGGCACAAAACACCACAACCGTCTGCGCACCGTGGTTCAACTACTAGAAAGGTGTGTATAACACATGTATAAATTATAAATGTTTCTTCAAGACGTCCTAACTTCTAGAGCAAATGTAATCAGCACCTACAGGCAGCCGCAGAAGTCACGGCATAGTAGGAAAAGATAGGAAAAGCGTAGTTCCAATCTATTTAAAGAATCATGGCTCCGGCTCCAAACGGTTCCAGTCACCGTGTCGATGTCCGAACGAAATGCCTTGATGCTTGGAAGCCCTTGCTGCTCCGCCAGCGCATTGCTTCGATCCACAGCACCATCTCGACGGATCGCCAGCACCACGAGACGGCCCAGCCGATGCTTCACATCCATGCCCAATTGGTCATGGAAATCGGTTTTCTGGACGCAAATCTGATACTTCCTTAGTTCTGATACTGGCTCACAAAGGTCACAGGCATGCACAATATAGGAATGTATGTTGGGCCTATCCTACTACCAGTAACAGTGGATGATGATGGTTAGTAAAGGCCTTGTTCAAAAATAGTGATATTAAAAAAAGGAAAACCGACTGTTGCAGTAATGGGACAAACCCAGCTACTATATAATATATAATATATCATAATGAAATATACCTCATCAGTAGAATCAGATCCTTCCGTATACTTAGGGACCAAAATAACATAAAAATAACTGATGCAAACGTTGGAAGTAGATCAGCTTCTTCTGACTGGTCTCCAGAAAGCCATGCTCATTAAAAGGATCTTTCACCGTAGAAGTGGGAACCTCAAGGCCATCCGTCTTGGAAGTGCAACAGCATCCAGAGGCAGCGCCCATGGCGCATATTTCCACGCCTTGAGCACCTTGAGATGCCCGACATGCATTACAACCGACAATCAAATGGCTTGGGGACTTCCAAACGCCAGGATCTGGGGCAGGTGATTGTCATAGACTCAGACCTTTTGAAGACCGCGATACAACCTTATGGAGGATTCTCACTAACATTATACAGTATGCGGCCAGTGCTTGCAACTTGCCACACGTCGCACCTCCTCTCAGAACTCAAAAAAAACGCCACCAATCTCTGGACGCGAGCAGGGATTCGAAGTCGTGAATGGGTGAAGCAACCAATATGCCAGCATGACCTCCCCCTCCCTTCCCAGGCTTCCGCTCTTGCTTGTAGCCCTCAGGAAGCAGGTGCCAACACAAAGTCATCAGAGACTTGACAAAAAGATACAAGAAGGATTTCCCGCCCACCAGTCAAAGCAAATATTAACCCTCAGATCTCAGATACTCTGATCCGACGAAGCCATATCAAAATATCCGGAAAATGATGAGTCATAGCTGGCTTTGAAACAGATTAAGCTCTGAGAGAACATACACAGCGCAGGCCTGTCGGAAGGCTTCGTCCTTCAGATCCTGGGGTGCTTGAGGCTACGCCGGCTACACTAGACCGCCCTCCCAGCATCCTCCGAGTCTCGCTAAAGGTCTCGTCATGGGTATCACATGTGGCAGCACCGACATTGGTCATGATCGATGACCTTACGAAACGACCTGATTCAATCTGAATGCACGTTTAAAGATTGCGACCCTATGTGTACACTAAGCCTCTCATCTGCATTCACATCTCTTCACATCTCTTAGGTAGAAAGCTAGAAAGCAGGTCGAAAACTGGCTGTACGCATGGTCTTTCCATCTCTTTCCACGCCACATCCCGGACACCGTCCTGGGGCACCGGTTGACCAGCACCCTCCAAGATGCCGACCAAATCTGCGCGACTGGGCGGTTGCCAACTTTGGGACACCAAATCGACGAACATGGACCCCAAAGCCCCAAGATGTTGCTGAAAATCGGAGCATCATGATGTTCTTGAACGGATTCTTGTATGTTCTTGAAGAATGCGACAAATGTCGGTGGCGATTGCCTGGATGAAGGGGCACATGTTTGTCCAATTCACATTGGGCACAAGTTGTTCTCTCGCCTTTGACCACATTGGCGTTGGAGTGCTGTGCATCAGAGCCAGGGACCTTGAAACGCACGACCGGAGTGTTGTGAAACCACGCTGCACGACCGGTGTTTTGCACGATGAATCAAAACACCTCTCTTATCCTCTCTTACCCGGACTGGACCAAGCTTGTCAGCCTTGCAGCACCGCGGTTTTCACATATGTCCAGTGACGCACCCACATATGTACTACATTGTACTACATTGTACTATATACATTGTACTACTACTACTACTACTACTACTACTACTACTACTACTACTACTA